GGCCGATAATATCGGCAAAACGATATATCGGTCGGGCTCTAATCACAATATCTAATCTAATCACAATTCATTCAGTGTGAACAGAGCCGTTCTGAGGCGCGGAAAACACCGGATTACAATAAACGAGTTGACTGCATTCATTCAGTGTGAACGGAGCCGTTCTGAGGCGCGGAAAACACCGGATCACAATAAACGAGTTCACCGCATTCATTCAGTGTGAAAGGAGCCGATCTGAGGCGCGGAAAACACCGGATCACAATAAACGAGTTCAACGCATTCATTCAGTGTGAACAGAGCCGATCTGAGGCACAGAAAACACCAGATCACGAGCTGATCGTCTGAATGAAGTGTGCGCTTCGCTTTGAAACACGCAGCTAAACCAGACTTGATGAAGGGATTAAGCCATATTGTGCTTTCGGTACCACGATATTGTCGAGACAATTTTGCTATCAATATATTATATTGGTAATATCGTTACACCCCTAATTAGGGATGTCAACGATTAATCGATGATCGGTTAATTGTCGATAAGAGATGCAATCGATTAAAGCTATCGATGGTCGATTAAGTCGTTTAATTTTGGGCTGCGTGCGACTCATGTGCAAAACACGTGCGAGCGGCTGTGAATGCCGGTGACTGTATATAAATGCATCATCATTCATTCATAAATACAAATTAAGCTTTTAATGTGATTTAAACTTTAAAAGTACATTAAAATAGAAACAACACAAAGTTCTTCAACATGGAAAGCAATAGAAATGTAGTAACAGTCATTTCCCCAGATAATTCTTTCATATTTGAAACAATTAGGTGAAGGTTGCAGGGCTGCGGGACACTGCGGGAGAAGGATTCATTCCTACGACTTATTAACTCGTTCCTACGACTTATTAATTTGTGGCCACTGTCCATGTTTCATTAATTTTGTTCCTTAAATAACCCATGATTTAACTAAAATGAGGGAACAAATTAATAAATCGAACAAATTCTGGTTACACTGGTCAGTTTAAATAGACCGTAGTATACCGGTCCACTCTGCTGTTATGCCAAGGACGTTTTTGCTCATGTGAAGAGGATGATCTTTTCCGTCTATATGCGAATGCGTGTAAAGTACAAGCCTAGTTTACATCATAAATAATAGTTTAACATTCAAATACATTACGAATTTGGATTTGTGCCAAATGAGACGCGAGCAATAACCTCCAAATACATCTAACCAACCCGCGCTCGCTCAGTCTCATATGCACGCAAGCATGCACTGTCATGATCTAATGCACTGTAAATGCCGGATTTTTAAAAACAAATAGGCCTACCGGAACGCAAAAATTCAAAATCTGACATTTTCCGGAACAGGATCCAGCAGGATCAAATTAAGTACTGGTCATAATACTCACATAATAATGTTTCATGTGAACAACAGTGTGTTTTGCTGCAGCAGCGCCGATGGAAGCGGTTCACTGACTGCGCAGCACAGCCACACGCGCCACAGTTACGTTTGGGATCATTTTATTTTAAATGCCATAATGTCAGTTGAAAACATTGCAGTTGTGTTTTAAAATACAACAACGAACACCACGAAACCATTTAAAGAGGCGCGTTCAGTGGTCTCCGTGATGGGATAGGAAACAGTCAACAAAGTAAATTGATCTCAAACGAGCTCTCTTCATTTTATCAAATGATCATAATCACATCTATTCATTTTACAATCCTGCTACTAGCATTTTATTCAGACTAAATCCCCTTTAAATCGGGTGAGAAAGAGAAAGAGGGGGTTTTTTTTTTGAGTAACTTTTGCACATCCTGTCATGCCGGGCTGCATAGACGCATTTTGTAGCATTAAGGTTAGCGATTAATTGATCGTTAATTTAAACGACGATCGATCATGGAAATGATCGAAAATTGACATCCCTACCCCTAATATATATATATTTTTTTATTTTTTGTTAAAGAGACCACCCTCCCCACCCACCCAAACCTCACTTTTGTTGATATAAGCAGGATTTATTCATGTAAGTACAGCTTATTTAAATAAAGTTTAATATTTGATGAAAAAATATTTGATGAAAAAATGGTAATAAATCACTCCCTCCATGTAAAACACCCGAGAGGCACACCATTTGGTTTACTTTGAGCTAAACCACAGTCTCAAATTGATATGACTGCATACTTGTCAATGTAAATGATGAAGTATTTTAGCACTTGCCTTTCTGTGGTGTGCCTACTTTGAATTTTTGGTTTAAGCGCTTGCCTTTCTGAAATCTTACCTGGTTCAGCTCCATGTTGATCTCATCTATTCTTCGTTTGGCCTGTTCCACCTCTTCTGTGAGCTCCTCCTCCATCCTCTTCTGCTCATCCAGAGACTGTCTGGAAACAGAAGGAGAAAAGGAGCAATGACACGCACAATAACAGCTGTTAGCCAAATCAGATGTGGCTTTGAGAAGTGTTGGTACCTGCTGGTGGTGATGTAGTCCTCCAGCTTCTCAATGCGCTTCTGGTTCTCCTCGATCTCTCTGATCTTCTGCTTGATCTTGGCCTTTCGATAACAACAATCACAACAAATCAAGCTGCTGTTTGTTTATTTCCACTGTATCAATTAAGCCCACAGAAACTCTTTGTACCTCTGTTTCTATTTTCTTCCTCTCCTCCAGGTCCAGACGGTCCTGGTCAGCTTTTTGGTCTCTGTTGAATTTCTCCAGCTCCTGAGCCAGTGTAGCAGCTCGCTTGCTCGCCTCCTCCTTCAGACGGTGATATGCCTTAACCTAAACACAAACAAAGACAACAGTCATATTAAACAGTATTATTAATAGTGCTGTCAATCGATTAATCGCATTAATCGCTGATTACTAGGGATGCACCGATACCACTTTTTCCAGTACTCGCCCGATACCGATACTTTTATTTTTGGTACTTGCCGATACCGGGTACCGATACCAATATTTTATTGCATTTGTACATTTTTTAAATATTGGGTACAGAAACCAAAAGAGTATGTATAATGTTAGTTGGTTAACTTCATTTATCAAATAGATACAGTCAAACCAAAATATATTCAGACACCTTCAACATTTCTCACATTATCATAGCTTTCTGATAGCGCATCAAGAACCGGGTTGACCGGGTACTCGGTACCACCGGTACTTAAGAAAACCTGGTACCGTAACGTTTTCATTTTTTTATTACCTACTTTTTCCCTCTAATCAATCTCAGCATGCAATAATTTTGTGTCGCTATATCTTTGCCTCACTAAGGTTAAATTATGCCCACGTCTTTCTTTGGCCTGTGCTCTGGAAGTGATCTGTTAATTCTGCTGAACTTTAAAACAAACTAAAACTGAAACTAAACTATATAAAAACTAAATAAAAATGCGTTCACAAAATAAAAACGAAACTAAAACTAACAAAAATATGAATGAAACTAATAAAAACTAAACTGAATTTTATGGCAAATTTGAAAACGATATTAAAATAAAACAAATTTAAAAATTCTAAACTATAATAACCTTGATGTGTACTGTGTATATTTATGTTTATATAAATACACACACATACAGTATACATTTTGAAAATATTTACCTTTATACATTTATATATTCATATTATTATATTTTATATTATATATACATATATGTAATATATAAACATAAAATTTTACTTAAATAAATACATGCATGTGTTTGTATTTATATATACATAATAAATATACACAGTACTCGATATTAATCGATTAATCGATTTTTACGGACCGATATCGATTCTTAAATCCCAAGAATCGATTATTCTAGCCTGTTTTCAGTTAATGGACTCTTGTTAACAATGACACGTAACGTCACATTTATCTCAGAAAAAACATATTCGGTGACCATAAACTCATTAGTCAGATAAGACAAAAATAAACTGTAGAGAGGGACATTTTGCTAAGAGATTTTTTTTCCTTTAGAAAATTTGGCATGTATTGTACCTGATATATATTCAAAATAATTGATATTGAATCGAATCGAAAGCTTGTGAATGAGAATCGAATCGAGAAGTTTGTGTCAAAACCCAGCCCTAAATGAATATGTTGCATTTTTCACAGTATATAACCCTCAGTCAGCTGTACCTGGTTCTCTTCCAGCTGTAGATCTTGTCCCTGACTTTGAGCCTCCTCCTCCATTCGCTCCTCAAACTCCTGTCTGGCCATTTCCACCGCCCCCTGTTCACGGTCTAGCTCCTCCATGTCTGCCTTGCGTTTTTTGTAGCATTTCTGGGCGTTCTGCAGTGATTTACGGGCAGTCTCCAGTTTCTTGATCTTGTGAGCAGTGTTCTCCTTGGCTTTAATGTACAGAGGCCTCTTCTGATTAAGCTCTGCATCCTTCTCCCTGTCAACATGTCACAAAATTAATTACTATCTATTAGCTGAGCTCTAATCATATATTATCAGATGTGATCAATTAGAGAATAATTTTCATCTTCTTAGCCTGCCCTGATCAATTCTGCAAGAGCTCAGGGCACTTCATTATCGTTTGTCTTTTAAGCAATTTTTATTTATAATTTTCAGGGCATATTAGAATTTAAGGATACTCTGCTTGGTCAGGTGATGACTATAATCTGCCAATAATCATGTCCTATGACCCAGCTGGTGGTTTCTCAATTTCACATCGATTACATTTTGATTAAACAAAAGATGTGGGACTACTTCAAGACTTCAGCAAAGACAAATATGCAATGTAAAATAAATATATCAAATAGTACATTTAAAAAGTAGGGATGCAGTAAAATAATGAAAATAGGAATTCAGTATCAATTAACTTGTTTAGTATGGTGGATAACCAAATGTTCATGATATCATGGAGTGCAATCAAATCATCTTAAGCCAAGGAGTCAAAGGAATTTTGTTTCTAGCCCTTATGGTTCAAAAGGTATTAGCTTAAATGTGAGTGCAACTTTAAGCTGTTGTTTTGAATTACAGACTCCACATTTGCTGTGGTTAATGTTAAGACTCCTCAATCTGTGTGCCAAATTTCATACTTTTCCTGCAAACGGTTCTATGGACTGCCTTGGCCAAAACAATTGTCGTTGTTGTTGTTTGTCATAAAAAATGACAATTAACTGACAAACAATTGACCCTCTGTTTCAGACTCACTTGATCTCTTTCTCAATCATCTGCTGGTCTCTCATCATTCTGCCCAGCTCTTTCTTCTTCTCTTTCAGCTCCTCCTCCACACGGTCCATGCGTTTTCTGTCCTTATCAATCTCTTTGTTGCGGTGGGCCAGCTCTCGGTTCAGTTTCTCAATCTCTGATTCATTGTGGTACAGTTTAAAGAGTTGTAACTGTACATGAGCACGCACCACCTCGTCTTTAAGCCGTTGGTAGCGTTCCGCCTGCACATAACACATGGAGAACCCAGCTAAGATTATGAACTTATAATTGCATATGTGCCTTCAGGGTTTTCAACACCCAAATAAATCTATTCCTACATTAATGAAAGAATAATTTACTAGTAAGGCTTCATTAGGAGCCCACCTCTTCTTTCTCTTGCTTGGCTTCCTTTCGTTCAGCAGCGATGTTTTTCTTGCGATGGTAGTTAAACTGCGTGTCCTCCTCAGCCTTTACCATTTCTTTCTTGCATCTGTCGTATTCTTGAGCAAGCTCTCCAGAACGAGAAATCTCTTCAAACAGAGCAGTTCTCTCTTTTGGGTTCTTCATGGCAATTGACTCGACCGCACCCTGAAGGGGGGGTAAAAACACCATAAACACTGTATTTCTCTACACTTAGATCACATGTGACAAACTCAAGGCCTATTCCGGCCCACCACATCATTTTATGTGGCCCACGAGAGCATATGTTTGTCTTAAAATAAAAATCTATGCTGCTTTATATTGTAAATTATGAAAGTGCGTATCAATACCACACGTTTCTGTTTCTATTTGGCGTTCTATTTATACACAGAAATTGACTTTGGTGTGCACATGATACGCAATAGTTAGGATTAGGGGTGTGGGGTTTTTCCGCTGATGATGAAAGAGTAGTAAAATAATTACGAATTTGAATCAGTAAATTTTAACGAAAACAATACATTATAAAAATGAAAAAAGCTGTTTTTTTTGCGATCAGATCAACCGGTAAACTCCTGGAAAGTCTAAGGATCCATTAAGCGAATGCATTCAAACAGTAAGTTCAAAACAGCTCTAATGTAGAGAAAACACGGCCGATTTTATCAGAGATGGCAGAGATAATAGTACTCACGTACAGATGTCAGTAAAAAAAATAAATAAATAATTCAGCAAGCTATTTGGCTTAAAAGCACGAGTGTTTTATACTGGATGCTGGCTGAAGGTGTTTTAGATTACGCAGTAGTCAGTGGTTTTAATTCTGGATCAGTCAGGTCAAGGTAGCTCGTTTAGAGGTCTTTTGGCATCTCCCTGTGTTCCTGTTTGGTATCGCAAATTGACTTGTGCAATTTTTTTTATTAAAAGTGCTGTAAACTACTAAATGTAATGTACAAATTTTAATTTTCTGTGAAGCTGCTTCGCAACAGTGTATCATGAAAAGTGCTACACAAATAACTGTGAATTGAATTGCAAACAGTTATTAATGAATTTATTTATTTATTTTGGCACTATATACATTCATTGCAAATTATGAAAATTAAAAAGTACTTTTTTTGTACTTTAGTTTGTATTTATTAGGGATGCACCGATATTCAAGCATTTCATATGCATGCCAAAGTCAATTTCTGCGTATAAATTACGCTATTGATAGGCATATTCATCATATTCATATCATTTGTTTTTTTTAAATGCCATAGCTGTCACACGTTATTAGCAGCTCACAATTATTTGTTGTACCATAAATGTAACAAAAAAAGTTTTTAACAAAGTTAATGTAATGACCTGTGTTTGATGATACTTGTCTTTATTTACTTTGATTTATGGAGTAATTTGGATTTCTTAACCTGATAAATTAAA